TTCTTAGAAATTAGGCGTATTATTCATACAATCAGCTTTTTACATAAGTTAGTTAATAACAAAATAGACTGTATAATTCTCTTAGATAAAATTCGTTTCATTGTACCTCGTGTTCATTCTCGACAGTTTTTAACATTTTACTCAGTAGCAACCAGAACAAATGTGTTATGTAGATCATCTATAATTCTCATGTGTTACTATTTAATCATTTATCTAAATTTTGCGACATAAATGCTGATAGTTTAGGTACTGTTATTTATAAAGTCTCCTGTAATAAGTAATTTACTTTGTTTTTGCTGCGATGATAATATTGTAGTTGAACCATGAATTAATAGTTGCGTTTTTGGCTTAAGTTTTCACTTGTGACTTATTTTTACTTAATTTTATTTTAGTTAATATTTTATACATATATATATATTTTTTCTTTTCCTTTTTCTTTGTATTTACTGCACTACTTCATAATTATTGTTAATTTTTTGTCCTTGTAACCTGTTGGGAATAAAGTATTATTATTATTATTGTTATTAAAATTATGAAACAACATTTTGGAATTTAATTTGGAATCTGCAAAACCGAATGCTTTGAAATCTTGCAGATGTTTTAAACTTATAAGCATGATAAATTTTTAATCAAAATATATTTACTTATAAATTGTATAAAATATGATGAGTCTGTATTTGTAATTTATCATTAGGTTCATATTTTTTGTATTTTCATATACAGGGTGACTCAAAAAAATTAATGGGTGAATTTATTTTATTGATTAAATTAAGAACTGCAAAACCGAATGCCTTGAAATCTTGCAGACGTTTTGAAGTAACTGCAGGCATGGTAAATTTTCAATCAAAATATATCTCTTTATCCGCTCCAAAAAATTGATGACGTCATATCATAATTCCGCCGAAAAAATACTATCTAATTTGTGCAAAATATGATGAGTCTATACTTGTGATTTGGATTTTATATTATTGATTAAATTAAGAACGGCTCACTCCATTTTTCCCCAAATTTGGTGGGTAGGTGGGTGGGGGGGAGGGAATAATACCACTATAGGGGTTCTCAAAAATATAAAATTCGCAAAATCAAATTTTATAATTTTTCGAAAATGCTGGATATGTTTCATTATACTTCAGGAGCGAGGGAAGTTCTGTCGAAACAAGTTTCGACCAATTTTTTAAAACTAGTCGCTCAAAGAGAATCCATTTCTTTGACATTTGTTCTTAAATTAAACAAAATAGTTTTGAAACAATATTTGTTAAATTAAAAAAAGTTAATTGAATGTCGAGACATTAGAAATTCTCTGAAGATTTTATAAGAAATTCCAAGAAAATCTTGACAAGGACAGTACATATTTTGGAAAAATTAAACATTTGAAAACTTTCAAAATAAACTTGATTTTGATGCATTATTGATCAAGGAAAACGTATCTAAAAAAATATATAGAACAAATATTTCAATCATATACAGGGTGTTATTGAAAGGTACGTACAACAAAATTGACAGTTCTTCGCGAAGTCTAAGAAGCTTGAAAAACTTATTTTGTGTTATCAAAATTAAAAGGGGAAAATTAACCCCTATCCAACCTTTTTAGGCGCTACTGAAGCATAAATAGGTAAAATTAATTTATTGTAGTAAATCCTAGCAACTGTAACAATAATAAAAAAAATAAGAGGCCCTTTTGTTGCTATAGAAACGAAAGATGAGCATTTTATCAGAGGCGTACAACGAATTTGGACATAAATTTGAATAATTTTTATCTCTAAAATGAGAACACTTTTACCTTAACTTTTTTTTATTTTAGCACCCATACTTCGAGACCAATTGCCGATTTTATTTTGTACGTACCTTTCAATAACACGCTGTATATTAATTAATGAAGAAGTTGATTTGTATTACTGACGATATGTGGTCACATATTTTGCAAATACTGTTTACATAAATAGCTAGAAACGTATAATAACAACTGTTCAATGTGCAGATAACTATTATTATTATTCATCTTTTCTGAACTTTCAAATGAGAAGAAAACTTTAATGTGTACACGGTTAAAAAAGCGCATCTTTAATTTTATGTCTTCATAAGGTAATTGTAACATTAAAATAACTAAAATTTGTCTTCTTCCTTAAAAGTCTGGAGGAATTTCGTCAGTTTTAGCATAGATTTATATTGAAAAACTAAAGAAAATGATCACTTTTGAAAACATATTCTTGCAAATTGGCGAAGGCAACAGAATGAACCGTTCATGTGGAGATAACCACAAAATTCATAATTGTTACGTTAACTGAACAATTTATCCTCTACGCCCATTCAGGTATCGAAACGTATGATAACAATTTGCAGGACAATATAGCGTAGATGTAGAAAAATGCCACCGGCAAACTTCAAGTGTCAAAATGAAGAATGAAAAATTGCTCTTTTATTAATTTTATAATATGAATCTGCATTCATATTATCATTAAGAGGCCGGTTACAATTAAAGTAAGAACATTTTCAAAAAGTTGCTTTACAGTTTTTAACAGTTGTTAATACAGTATTCAAATAATTTAAATGCAACTCACATTTTACAACTTATATTATTGTGTATTATTGCTATTAGTTCTTATAACTTTTTATCCAATGAGCCAATGACAATAATGGATCGAGCGATGCAAGCAGTGATTCGAGGCGTGGAACATTGCCTTAATGTTAAATGAAGATACATTATATAATTTTCTATAATTAATAACAATATCTAAATCAAATCAAATATCGCTAAACTTTTGTATTTTTTTCTATATCCCACAATAAGGTAAGGATTTAAATTATATGCATTTTAACACTTTTTGTAAGACCAGTCGAAATTTCAGTATCCAGTTCTTCATCAAATTTTTATATTAAAAAAAAGTTGAAATTGAGCAAAATATGACCAAAAATGTTGTAGTTTTTTATTTAAAAAAATGCAAATTTTGTTGGAATTAAAAACAAAATCTGCACGATTGCTCGTTGAGCCAGAACTCGTATCTACTCTCTTGGTTAGTTTAAGTACGAAAGCGTCTTGGCGTTAGATGTTGTATTTTGATAATATGAAATCTGCTGTCATTATTTTTAGGGGAAACGAGGCAAGACAAACATTTAAGTTGTTTCGGAATGAGCCTGTTATCTTGAAGTGTACGTGTCTTGCTTGTGATATAAAAAAGCAATCATGTACAAAATCAGCGTTGGTATCGACTGTTTGTATGTTTCCGGTGGGACACATTTGTTCGCTTGTTGCGAACTCCCTCAAGAACAAGAACTCATTTAACTTGGAATGTGTATTTATTTTATTAGTGTCGCAACTAATGGTGTATTACATTACTTTTTCAATTTTACAAATCTCTTCCACTTTAAATTTTAAACTAGCAACTTTTTCACAATGTCACTTTAAATAAATTCCCGAGATATAATTATTCATTCATTTTAAAGAAAGTACACGGATTTAATTTGAATTGAAGAATGCAATCTTAAGTAGATGGTAACCTAAGTTTTTAATGAGGACAACGGAATCACAAAAAGAGGGGAACAACCCTGTAGTGCTAAATACGTCCAATGAATATTAAATGAGCGCACAAAAAGTTAATTCGTTTTATTTGTTTTACTCGTAATTATGCAAAAGTGGAGTTTTAGACAACGCTCGTTCCAGTCGAGACACTTAATTGTTAAATAGATTACTTTGTTTATTGTCGATGGCGAAACACGCACGACAAGATTTTGCACATAACATTTTTTTACGGTTATCGAAATCCTACTGACCGCGCCGTTTAGTGGATGAACAGAAAAACGAACGAAAATAACTTCTAATAAAAAATTTGCATCAATGTTTTCGTTTGAATTCAGCACGTGAAACAAATGCTTGAAGAGATTATTAACAACATTAAATATGTGTAAATATAATATTTGCTTAGAGCTGGCGGTTGAAATGGATTCGTGATACGGATAAATCGTAACAATAAAACGCTTATGTGACTGTCATATATAATTCAAATTGATCGACCGCTGATATAATCTAAATATTTCGTTACACGCCTATCGTTCAACGTATTCAATAGCCACATTCACTTTAATTATTGCTATACATGTATAACTTCCTCATAATTAGATCGTGCCTGGATAATAAATACGATCTTCTCTTTTAATCAAAGCAGAAATGTCGATATTGTCGTCAAAATTTTTGTACGTCTAATCGTGAGCCTTTTCGTCTTTTCATATCCCGATTTTCTAAGGAGAGAATTGAACTCCGTCGACTTCGAAGTGTACATAATCCTTTAATTGTATTTACGCTTCGTCGAGTGATTATTTAAATATTAATTTAGGGGATACTTACAGATATTCGAATAAATAATTCAAATTTAATTTCGGAAAACACAAGCGTCATGAGGTGTTTACATTTAATCATTTTGAAAGGTTGCGCTGTGTGCGTTAAACATAAACACTTTAGTATTATGTTACATTTGATTAAAAAGACCAACACATTAATCGAGGGAAAGGGTGTACACATCAACACACCCTGTACAGTCTATTTATACGTGATCGAGACATAAAATATTTACCAAACTCTACGCTCTCTTAAGCTTTCATCTACAATTATAGTTATATCGATTTAAGACACATTAAACAATTTAAAAATAACCTCAAAAGATGGACCGATTTTGAATTTTTAGATCAAAATTTTTACTATTTAAGACCACAACATGTAAATAATGCGACCTGGAAAATACGAAAATAGCACAACAAAAATGCCAAAAAATTAGGAACACTGATATATTTTCTTTTTAAGTACATCCAAATACTCAATATTCAAGAACAATTCCCTTGGGCAAGTAAATGCATTTAATAATCCACAAGCGGAAGCCTTTTTATGCCCGATATCGCAATGTAAAAACACAAAGACAAACTGTTTCAATATTTATAACGAAAAATTTTACATTAGAGCAATTTATTCAGTTGTTAAATAACCGATTCTTACGAAGAAAAAATTTTCCTACCTTCTCTTCCTTCAAGTTCCAGGCATTGGTGTCACTCTTCTCGTCCGTCGTTTCAATATCGACTTCATCGTCGCTCTCCTCCTCCTTTTGTGGCACGGTTCTCTCGCCCACCGGTTGAACCGGCTTGAAAGCCGACTGGTAATTCTTATCAATCGGAAAAAAGGGACTCTCGTGCGGAAACAGAATGGAATTCCTCTTCAGCCATGGAAACGTCGAGTACGACGAAAACGCCAACGGCTTGTGGTAAATAAAATCCATCGCCACCCTCGAAATCGGCAACGCAATATCCTGGCAATTCGGTATCCTGGGCGAAGGAACGATCGGCTGCGGTTGCGCTTCCACCTTCGTCTGCTTCGGTGGACGCACCACATTCGAGGCCAAAAGGCGCTTCCTCGTACCCCCATTGAACATAGCTTTAACGTCCTCCCACGCGTGGATCACCTCCTCCGGGGGGCTGCCGCTCAGCTTCATGTGCCGCCTCCAAGAGTTGAAGTTGGCGGCATCCGGCTGGACGTACTTATCGTTGGAGCTTAGCCTGTGCGAGTGGAAGATGAATTTGTTCGGAGAAAAGAACAATCCGCACACTGAACACTTGATGCACTTGGCTCGGGAGGAGTTGTAACGCGAAGGCAGGAAGGAGCCGCGGCAACCCCAAGCGCACTCGTGGTGCACAGCGAAGGCGAAGTCGTCGGGGAGGCGCGGGGGAGCGTTGTCTCCGAGGAAGCTCTTGCAAAGACGTTCGGCTTCCCGACGGGTGATCATACCGCAACGACGGGAAGAAACGGGCATGGCACCGGCCCGACGGAGGATCTCCAGCTGAACGGGGGTACACTGCACGCAGGTTATGCCTGGAAGAAGGAAATCAACGACAAAAGTTTTATAACCAGATTCGAGACAAAATTCCACCACCGAATCATACTGACCGCTTCGTTATCGTCGAGTTTTTGGTCTACAGTGCTGAAATTTACCCCATTGTGGTTGCAAAAAATCAGTAAGAGCTTTAATCAAAACAAAAAAGTTACAAAATATAGCACAAAGTAATGTCATTTTTATACAAGAAATCAAACGACCACTCAATCTCTGTTAGAAGTATACGGATTTTTTTGCGACGTATATATTCAAAGCACCCCCCTCCCCCAGATGTTGACGTTGAAGTTTGATGATTCACGCGTGTTAGATAGAAATCGGAGATTACACGACGATGCCGATGCCAACCTAAAAGTGAACGAAAATTATAGAGGTCTATTTTGAAGATGAATTTGCACAAGAAACATTATTTTCAAATTGAAATCTATGTCTGCGTTGATGTGGAGATACTATGCGGATTCGTTACAATATAAAACAAAAATCAAAACGTCTCTCGGTAAATTGTTTTTACTAGATTGGAAATTTTTGAAGAACCATTGACACTAATTAAAACGTGTTATGATCCCTACAACACCGAAAAATGAAACACACTGCCGACGCTATGATACCATTTTCTTGAGCCACATTAAAGGATCTGTCAATTACTTTTTAAATATAGACTAGGAAGTATAACGCGTCTAATTTATTAAAAATGGAGGAGAGTTTAGATGAACCATTAAGTTAAAAAATATCTTAGAAACAATAGAAACATTTGATTCGCGTAACGCTTGACACTGAAATTTAAATACACATTTTCACATAACTGAGATTGTAGATTTTGGAAAACACAATTATTAAGCCAAGTTTAATAAGTGCAAACAGCAAGAATGACCGGTAAGTATATGAAATAAAAATGAATTTTCCGAAAAAGTTTCAAAAATAATTTTTTTACTTCTACCTAAAGGAAACCGATGACGATGGATGTCAACAGTGTACACACGTTATTACAATTGTTTATCGTAGCTAAACATATATACATATTTTAACATAATTTTCTAGTGGTTTTCAAGAATCTGAAGTCTGCACTCTGGAGCTAAATTAAAAATACAACGAAAAAATATTAAAAATAGTTTTCTAAGATAACGTGCATTTAATAATATGTTATGATATCAAATTTTCCAAATTTAAAATTAAAGAGATTCGTTTTATGAATTGAAAAAATAGTATGTAAAAAAGATTAATTTACTAGGGGATGGGAAATAATTTTAATGTTGACTGTCAGGCGCAAAATTAAAGGAAACGTAATGCTGGTAAAGTAGGATTCTATAAAAAATTGTTCGCATATATTCAAATTACAGTAATAAAATATGCATAAATAGGAAAATAGGTATGTTATATGATTTAAGACAGACATTTTTTTTCTCGAACACTACTTTCAAACATAGTTTTCTTTAGAGGAAATAAACAAATAATTAAATAAATAAATAAATAATTTTTAGCTTCTACTTCGGAAATTACAGCTAAAAAATGACAAATTTACTATAAAAAACATTAATACAAAACATACAAAGTTTGTCCATAGTTTACAAAATAATTAACCAGTTTCATATTTTTTGGTCAGCGCAATAACAGGGATAAATGTTTACATAAAAAAAAGAAATTTATATTTTTTCATGTTTCTAATTAACAACATAATAAGCTAAATAACGATTGTCATGAAAATTCTTGACAAATACTTCATCAAACTTCGATTTATTAGTCAAGTGTTTTAAAGTAAATATAGATATTCAAACTATATATTTTACAAAATTGCCATTTATTTTCACAATGCTACTTTTAAAACTGTGATTTAGATTTTTGGATTTTTAATTGAAATTACATCTTACGTTAATTAATTAGTAAAAAAAATGTATATAATTATGAAAAATTAAAAAAATATTTAAACAATGGTGCAGGTTTATTTTCGAAAATTTTGAATTGGGAAGTTTAGAATATAAATAAATATATTTTTTCTTCTGCCTTCAAATAAAACGTGAAGAAAATCAGTAAAACTTGCCTAGCGCAACGCGACGATTGTGAATTTCGTTGTAGCTGAATTGCTTTAGCAGAGTGTTGGATATCTGCGCCAAACAAAGCCTCTCTTGGTTTTCTATGACCAAAGAAACAATGGGAATACCATAGAGAACAATGGTTCCCACCTGAAACTTGTAACGTCAGATGTAAACTCAATAATGGTTTGAAAAAATCCACTTACTTGATTTGGCTTAGGGTTCATGTCTTTCTTCGGTGAAGACAGTCCTGGTGAAGGTGAGTGAGGCAACCTCGGCTTCAAAGGGTCCATTTCTAGTCGCACCACATCAAAAATCTCATGAACTCGCGGTCATTTTCACTCAATCAGTCTGAATACTTACTTATAAAGTTATCATGAGAATGACAGAAATCGCGTAATTACCCGAACAGAAATTTTGTTGTGTCCCGTGCGAGTTTTAGGAAGGAAATGACTAAATTTGCTACACTGTAAATCACCCTTTTCAAGCTCCGCCTTAAACAGTGGCTTTGGGGTTGCGTTTACACTTCAGCCTCCACTTTTATCCAATGGTAGACTCACGTTTAAATTGACAGACGAGAACAACCACCAACCCTTAATAATTGACCAATGACAAAGCCAACTAAAATAAAATATTCTCTTAAATATGAAACATAACTACTATTTTAGCATTAATTTTAATTGACTGCTTATTTTAACGAAATTGCGGGGACGTCAGACTTATTTTAAAAGTTCTCTGTCTACAATTTCATCAAAAATGTATATTATACCAACGACAAATTGTTTAATTATAACGATAGCTAATTTACAGTGCAAAGGTACTAAAATATATTTTATTGATTTAATCACAAATGGTATTTGTCTCAATCGCTCTCATATTTTTTTAACGCTACGTAATATTAAAATCTATACTTAATAGAATATTGTCCAAATGTGCTTATAAAAAACGTTTATACAAAAATTTTAAGGTTTCAATGAAGTACGGGCACGCCCATGAGGCGCTTATTTATTGTACTCATTGATAAAATAAATATTTTCGTTTCAAGCAACGATCTGTAATTTAACTTTTTTTATAAACAAATTTAAAATTCATTTATCTAATACACATGGCGTTTTTTTTTATTGTCCTGGAATGTTTAAATTTTATTTTTAAAAAATTGTAGTTGTAGAGTAAAAAAGATTAGGATTAGTCGTCACAAATTTATGTTTTTTAACTTGACACTTTTAAGTCATCTTTATGTTTCCTTTTTGGAAGTGACTGAGCAGATTTTGTATTTTTGCTTCCCGAGCTTAAACTAAAGAAGTATTGTAATCGTTTGTCTGGCATCTGTCTGTCTGTCTGTCTGTGTTGTTTTTTATTTGACAAAAAACTCCGAAACTATTAGACCGATTGTTGTAAAATTTTATATGCACGTTATAATTATCGCATAAATGGCAAAACGCTAACCAAAATTTGTCTAATCTGGTTTAAATTTTATAAAACAAGGTATTTCTGCAGTTGTGACTTATAAATTGGTCTTTAGATTTAGACTTTTTTTGGAACGAAAAATCAAAATTATGTGACAACGTTTTGCAATTTATCTTGAAACTCATTTAACAGTGCATTCATATTTTTTAGAATTACTTATACATGTTGATAACTCAAACAAATTAATGAATGAGACAATCTATATACAGCACTGTTATTATTAATATTACACTGCACCTATTCGAATTATATATGTATTGCAAAAATGTTGATGACGTCATCACAAAATATTGTTATCTGTAAAAAAGTACCATATATGTATATATTTATTTGAATTTATAGGGGTTATCATAAAAATATAATTCCCGAAATTTTATTTTATAATTTTTCGAAATACCGCAATATACCTGAAGTACTTCAGGGGTAAGGGAAATTCTGTCTCATTAACTTTAGACCGATTTTTTCTTGATGTAAACAGAGAATTGTAACAACTAATAATTCTTTTTTCATCTATTTGTCAGACTAAAATAAAATTTATTTAAATTATTTCTTGATGCTCTAACACGAAGATTGTCTTGTCAAAACAAGTTCTGTGACTGATAGGATTTTTTATGTACACTATGTGGTTACAGACATATATTACAGATTATAATAAATAGTTTTAATATGAGAGATTTGTAGTCTAAATTGAAGATGATACAGATAACAACGTTGTCGTTTCAACGGAAATATTTTCAGATTATTGTAGAAGGTATATCCCTTAATAAGTATAATATTGTTTGATGAAACAAAGAATGATTAGCTGTTAACAGCACTTTCTTAAAAATTTCACATCGAAATTTGTAAGTTGGTTGATACACCTGCAACATGTACGTCCCTGATCTGACGTCACACTGAGAAATTTTACTGGAAATTTGCTGTTGACCTTTCGGGTTCTAAAGATTTAGTCGAAAATACCACATTCGTGACACTTTTCATTATTTTTCTGTAATTAGCATTAGATACATTTATAAGAATCTATTTTATTTTGTGCATATCTAATAATGATGATAAAATATACGCATGAAAGTTCGTTTATGTAAACAAAGCATTTGTTTAATATTAATTTATAGGGATGTACCGACTAGTGGCCGACCGGTCGGATAAGCCGACTATTCGGCCGTTTTTCATCGTCGGCTGCAGTCGGCGACTGGTCGGCTAAACAGCCGATCGGTCGGATTTTTTTATTAAAATTAAAATAGTATGTAAAACAATTAAACCCGGTTTACAGAACCTCAATTAAATATTTAATTGCGATTTAATTTTTAACCCCGCGTTAAACTACCATGTGACCGACTCTACGCCAATCAGACATCGCTAATGGCCTTATTAAATGCGCGATTAACTTAATCTCAGTTAAAATATTGTATAAACTGGCCCTAAATTGTGTTATTCTTTATTTTTGTACTGAGTTACTAAAAAAAATTAATTGTTAAAATTATCCAAACAAATTTAACATATTTTTTGGAAAACAAAGGAACTTTATTTATTCCTTTTATTAAAATAAACAAATTTTTAAGGTAGTCAGAAAAATATAAAAAAAACACACTGTCTGTCGCATTTATAAACCGGTTTTAGCAAAGCCGAACAGTCGGCCGACTAGTCGGTTTTTACTGGTCGAACAATCGGCTAGTCGGTTAGTCGACCAGACCTACAGTCGGTACATCTCTATTAATTTATCATTATTAAATATACCATGATAACCCAGCTTTTAATAAAAATCGCCTTTCTAATTTCAAATTTGACATTTGTTTTTCAAGTAGCGAACTATTAAGCATGAAAAAAATATATTCCAAAACTTGCTGTTACCAGTGTCAGTATAACATTTGTTTATAACTGACAACACATTTAAAATTCTAAAAAATTAAAACTATGTCAAATATCTTACACAATCTAAAGTAAACTTTCTCAAGTCCGAAAGTAATTGACCTAAAAATTTAATTAAAAATTAAAATAATACAAAATTCATACAAAATCAGATATCTTTGAAAGCAGTGACAAATTTAATTTTGAGTATACAGTCTAATGCTAGTTAATTTTCCTCAATGGTTATTAATACACTGAACTTGGTTTCTTTAAGCACTATATAAAATCAGCTTTAAGAAATCGCAGCGTTTAAATGTATCTTGATTTAGTGTTATAGTTTATATGGATACAAAAACGGTGATATTAAAATTTCTGAATATACTGTAGGTTATTTTGTAGTTCGATTTCTAAATTAATGGGTAAATTTTATGAGGACGTCATGAACTATTTAGTAAGAACCACTACACCAGTTTCAATATGTTTGTACAGTGGTATAATAGTGACAATTGCATTATGTCACTAGAATTTCAGGAAAATGAAGTACATCGTTTTTGATTTGATTAATAAAACAAACTATTTCATTCATTAATGTTCTTGCATAAGCAGTTCTAAAAAAATTAGTGTATCCAGGAATGTATGTATGTACCACAATCATGCTATTGTAAACATTTTAAATACGATTCCAAGATTTTAAGATGACATAAAGTTTTTGGAGGAGATGAACAGGTAAATTCTGATTATGGATTTACTATGTTTATGACAACCTTAAATCGTGTGAAAGATTTCAGACCACTCGGTTTTGTAGTTTCTAAGGTCAACTGTAAAATCTTGCAAACATTTGAATTCTTTTTCCAAAAATCTAGATGTCTATTGCACACTCAGTTACAATAAACAATATGAAAATTAACTAGATTATTATTGTTACTATTATTATTATGTTGTAATTAATATTCATATTATTATTATTAATATTATGTATTGTTGTTCATAATGTTACTTTTGGCGGATGCGCCGGTCCACGTCTGAACACATCTGGTAAAAGTTGAGTTTATTCTCAAACAAATCTCTTATAGTGTAAAAAAGGGCGAAGATAAAACGTCGTGAAAATACAAGCTCGTATCTATCTCCACTGAGGAAATAAATCCTGCTAAATGACGTATGTAATAATAACGATGACAAACGACCAATTTTTTTACAAACATGTTTTCCAAACCAAAAATTATCTATGGTTGTCTTGCATACATTTGATTTAGTTAGTTTGGCTACGAATTATAGTATATATATATAATTATATATATGTCAGCCAACAGAACTGTAAAAAATAATTTCAGATTGTTCTAAAATATGAGCCTTATTTTGTAAGATGTTTCATAATTATTAAATTAATCACAACATTATTTTAAGCATCACATTCTTTTGTGCCATACGGAACTGTAAGAAAAAAAAACGGTTTATTATTACGAACAACCCTTAATTTGTAAGAAGCGTGCTGAATTCACAATTACAGACTTTGCTGCGAAGGAAAAAATTTATGTTTTAAAGAACTTTCTGGTTTCGTTGTAAAACAGTTGTTTGTCGTAAAACGTTAAAATATATTTTAAGAGAACTTATGAGGTTAAGCGTGTCTAATCATTCCTTAGCAAAAAATTCGCTTGAAATGTACAACATCGTTCGAGTAATTTGATAACTTAATGGAATTTTTACTTATCAACCTATATACATATAGCCTGACGAATATTTAATTTTGTATTTTGTTGGGGTTTTACATGTTATAGAATACGAGAACGCAGGCTCGTTTGCAATTTCGAATATTTTTTTATAAATTCTTTATAAATTAAAACACGAGTTTAGGAAACGGTATGGTAGTGACAGACCGGGATACGTACAAACACGAGTTATTCACTGGAAAATCGCACGTATGCAACATTTGAGACGAGCTTATATAAGGTTTTATTTTGATTCAGTTGTTATCTCTCTTTGT